TGTTCGTTACGGGAGAATGGGATTTGCATCCTAGTATAAAACAAGGCATCTCTATTGATATATTTTATTTAAAGATATAATTTCATAACAATATTTTTAGTTAAATATTAAAGACAGCAGACGTCTAACATAACAATAAATTATACGACTTAATTAAAATTACATTTGTCAAATAAATTAGCCAGTACGATCATGGACAAAGTAAATACGATGTTATTAACTTTTTTATTAAGAAGTGTAAAAAGAGACCAAAGATGACCACTTGAAATTCTTTTTTCCACGCATGAATTATACGCAACATCTTTGAATATATTAGTCTCTTTTTGACTTAAGCCCATTTTACACTATGGGATATAATATAATTTGTATTAAATCTCGAGATATAAATTAATACCGCTCACCGTACTTTTAAGTGGAACCGTTTCTACTGAGATATAATATACATTACATCCCAAACTATAAATATTTTTTCGATAGACCGAGCGATATTTTTAATGTTAATTTTTAAATTTTTAAGTTAATCGTTAGTTTCTCTATGTAGTCTGTGATTTTTATATTATATTTTACCTCCCGTACCCCGTACACCCTTCCGCGCCTCCGCTACGTCCTCAGCTCGTCCATTAATGAACGCACACTGGTTAAAAGATATATCTCAAAGTGTGAAGGGCCATCGTGGGGTATAATTTATATCCCGGGATATAATATATATTATATCCCATAGTGGAAAGCCAGCTTTATACGAAAATTAAATTGGAGAAAGCAAGCCAGCTATATTGACTCAATTTATGTAGGATTGTAGGTTTTCTCTATGCATACGTATGTATGAATGAATGAATGAATGATTATACTTTTATTGTACACCAAAAACAAATATACAGATAACAAAACACAAAGCAGATTATAATATTATGTAAGTACAATTTGGCGGCCTTGTCGCTACATAGCGATCTCTTCCAGGCAACCAAAGGTGTAAGGATTAGAACAGTGAGAACAAGGTAGGTGGTGCAATATAAATATACATAATATAATATTAATACACGCGATTTATAGACAATACATGCAATAAAATAACATACAAATAATTAATACATGAAATTATACAAATTGCTAAAATATAATAAAAATAAAGTAAAACATATATATAAATATACATATATATATATATATATATATATATATATATATATATATATATATATATATATATATATATATATATATAACAAAATTCCTCAAACAATAATATAAAGCAGATAAATACAATAGATACATAATCACTTAATTTATTCTAACAGTGTTCAAACGACTGAGACAAGTAATGCTCTTTAAGTAGTCGCTTAAATATAACAATAGTTTGTGCTTCACGTATACGCAACGGTAGTGCATTCCAGAGTTTGATAGACTGGACAGTAAAAGAGTTATTAAAAAAAGGAAGTATTGTGAGTTGGAACCCTTAAAATGAATTTTCTTGAAGAGCGTAGAGGTTCTCCTGGAAGCTCTACAAAATTAAACTTCTTTAGATAGGGAGGTGTTGAAGGGTGAAATAATACACAGTACAGAATAGAAAGAATATGCATATTCCGGCGAAGTCGGATAGGTAACCACTTGAGACGTGAGCGAAATTGGGAAATATGGTCAAATTTGCGCAATCCAAATATGAACCGAATACTAGTGTTTTGAAGTCTCTCAAGCTTATTTAGCTGGTTCTCGGTTATGTCTACATAGCTTGCGTCAGCATAGTCGAGAATCGGAAGGAGAAGAGACTGTGTGAGCATAATTTTTGTAGGAATGGGAAGAAATGATCGAAGGCGACGCAGAGAACACAGAGCGACAAAGGTTTTCTTACTTACCTCATTCAGTTGGCGTATCTAATTTAAGGAGTTATCGAAATAAATAACAAGATTTTTGACATTGTCAAAGTAAGGCATTACAATTCCATCGAATTCGATAGGTGGTACGGAGAACCAGTCAATTCTTGAGATAAAGCTCCGGCTACCAATAATAATGGCCTGTGATTTTTTGGGATTGACTTTTAGGCCGTATGACTTACTCCACTCATGAATAATATTTAAATCGTTATTCAATGTAGAGATTGCATTCGGCAAATTCTCAAGAGTTTACTGGGTGTAAATCTGAACATCATCCGCATACATGTGGTAGAGAGAAGATATTTTATGAGTGATTGAATTTATGAAAATGGAGAAGAGTAAAGGTTTTGAGTATTAAACCAAAGGAGACGGCATCGCAAGGCATACCCCTCTGTAGAAGGTACGAGAGTCCGACTCATACTCGTTATATAAAACTAGTTGCTCCGCGTCGTGCGTCATTTAGAAGTGATCGTGCCAGTAATTCGAGCTCCGACAAAATGCCGAATTGCAGTGTATTTACATGAAAAAAAAAAACAATCAAAAGCGTCAAGTATACAAAAGGACAATGGACTTTTCATCTGTGAGTATCTTTAACATAATAATTAAGTAATTTTATCATTAAAACTCGTACTTTGTAAATATTATCGTCAAATACCGAGTGTGGCCATCATAGTTCATAAAGTGAAAAATAATCTAATTTTAAAAAATATAATTTACTACACAAATTTATATATATTAACGAAAATATATTTTCTAATAACTATATATTATGAATAATAATCATTACATATAGATATGTAGTGGATTTTGTTATATTATATATATTCAGCTCAATTTTAACACGATACTGAATATTATATAATTAAATATAATCAATAACTAGTATTTATTAAAATATTATACAAAATACAGGCCAAATAAGTCAAATCGAAACTTGCTACCTCGCAGCAAAAGTGTGCAATTTTTATAAAAATAAACTGGTATCACTGCAACCGAAAGTATTGCACTATAGTGATGAACGCCGCAAATTTAGCTATCGATAAGTTAATTAACCATGCGGGTTTGTCTGCCGAACCGGTTTGTAGTTTTTATTTAGATTTTATAATAAAGTATTACAAAAAGTAGTAAATTTTTCTATTATTGGTTTGTTATTACATATTTCCAAGAGATCCTCTTAGGCGACACACTTGGATTGTAGCTTGTAGAAACCATGAATCTGACACTGCAGTACCAACCTTGAACTTGTGGGAGGTAATGTTGGGCTGTAATTATATTTAGATTAAATATTTTTATTTACCTTTGACACCAATATTATTCTACTTGAAAATATTTTATTAAGTTTACAAAAGCACTAACCTATCAAATTTAATTCATATATTTATATACCTATTATTGTAATTGTAAACTTAATGTAGTATAATTTTTGTACGCCATAGATGGCAAAGCATGTAGCTCGTTTTAAGTTTTTTAACACTTGTATTTTATTTACTTTATATATATATATATATATATATATATATATATATATATATAGGTAAATAAAATACAAGTATATATATATATAGCTTGATGTTCGGCAAAATTCCACAAGTTATCTTGAAAGTCACAATTCGAAAAAAAATCCTTATATAGCCCGAACTAGTCCTACTTCCACTGCGAGTACGAGCCAACACTGGAAAATTAGAATGACAAAATGCCTTGACATAAAAAACAATAGCGTAAACAGGCTTCACAAGTTTGCAAGAAATACTATGCCCTAACACTTAACTATTACTCACCAAAAGTCTGTCGCTATGTACGTATAACTTTTGGAACATGTTTGCCTGCATCCGTACATTGACTAAGTGGTACACTACCATCGATCGCCGACCAGGGTTTACTCAAGAAGCGCTGACGGCATTAACATTGAGAGCGGAGAATAACCCTGATAATTTTTTTATTGTACCTTGGTAATGGATGAAGTGAAAATCAAGCAATTGACAGAATACCATGCTAGTAGCCAAAGTCATTATGTATATAACCAAAATGTCTTTTAGAACTTGCATGGTACTCCGTCAATTGTTTCTTATCAGGGTTACTCTCTAGTCTAAGTTTTAAAACAGTTAACGCTTTTTTTGTGTAGCCAAGTCGGCCATAAATTGTACTGTACCACTTTGTTATCGTATGTGATGAAGGCAGACCAATTTCAAAACTTTTGATATTTCGCACATATTGTTAAACTTTCGGTGAATAGTAATGTAAAGTTAAAGCAAAACATCTTTCTGGGGAATACTTAGCCCTAGGTAGATGTCACGTTTTATTTTTAAGTAGCTGTCTGCTTAAATTAAACTTTGTTAAACTATTATATAGTGTAAAAATTTTTTGTTTTCCTAATTTATTAAATATTTTCCAAACAGTTCGTTTAATAACTCTTTAAAATCAAAAACTATTTTTAATTAGCGGTTTTGTGATAACGAAGCTTTATAATAAAAACAAAAACTTGATTAACACCATCTAAGACGATAAAGTGATTGGACTTTTCTTTTCAAACAATCTGATTTTTAAAATAAGTTAACTAAACCTATTTCGATTTGTTAAATGTTTAAAATTTTATCCTGCATAATGTAAAATAAACCTGTAGCAAAATAATAAACTTATTTTCAATAATTTCTAAACTTTTTTCCGAAGAAAATATCTAAATACATTAAAAAAAGAATTTCAAATAACACCTTGGTATTATTTATCTATGTATTACTTTTTGTATTACTTATTGAATACTCAATGTATTACTTATTGAATACTATGTATTACTTATTGAATACTCAAAGAGTAAAGGTGACAACACGCCGCATGTGTATGTAATTACTCTATGGAATTTTATTTGGATTTTCGGGAAATTTCACAAATTAATGCTGGCAATGCTGTTGAAACGTTACTTTAAATTTTGAAAAGAACATTTGAAAATTTGAAATCTTTTCAGACTACAATATTATTCATATAGATAACTGTCTATATACTAGAGAATATTATTGTTATACTCATTCATGCAGAATTTAAACTGCTTAATTGCTTTTCATATTCTAATTGCATACTAAAAAGAAGATCCTTAATTTATTAGAAAATCAGGTTTGTTTATGTATGAATAAACTCATAATGTCAACAAGTGGGCATACAGTGCAGCAACAACAACAGTTGCAACAAGATCTACAAAATGAATTAACGTCTACAAATCAACTTTTAAGGTTAATGTATGTATGAAATATAAATTATTTAAATACATATTAGAATTTATTAAACTTGATGTTTTTCGAATTCAGATTTTCAAAATAATTTCTACGATTTTAAAGTTGATTCTTTTCAATCGAAACCTAAATTTTATCACAATGATGAAATCACACCTCAATATTTAAGTGAAAGTCGGTATTTCCTCCTATTACCCGATTCGATTTCAATTGATTAGTACAATTATGTTTGTATTCCAGATCCATTGAATTACAAAAAATTAAGCATTTTACTGCTAGTGGCGGAGAGTTAGAAAGCAATATTTTGAAGGTATTGATTTTTTAATTATTAAACAATTAAATGATTTTATTGTACATGATATACAACAACACATAAATTTGTAGTGTTTATTTTCAAGTGTCACTTATTGTATTTTATGTGTATAAATTATGAATGCAATACAGTTACCATATGTTTCTTAGTTGGGAGTTCTCATTGATGTTATATATTATGGCCTAGTCTTTGCCGTCCATCTAAAAATTCATTGTTTATTCATTATACTTAACACCATTATAATTTGGTAAGTACATATTAATATAATATGATAATTTAGTACTTCAAGCTTTTCTTGTTTATATTGTCGCAATAGTAATCACATTTAAATGAAATAACTAATCAATTAATTGAAGATTAGGCCTTACCTTGGGGGAGGCCTATGTTCTGCAGTGGACTTGTGAAAGACTGTAATGATAATGATAATTGAAGATTGATCTTGAAAATCTGCGCTCGGTTAAACAAGAATCTATTCTATTGGGTTCAATACAACATGGAAAAATTGATGAATCAACTTGCCTACTACTCTTCTTCATTGACTATTATGTTTGGTTACTAAACTGCTTTAAGCCTTGAATATAATTCACAAATTTTTAGTAAATGTCCTTATGACAGAAACACCCAACAGGAGCATGTTTATCTGCAGAGCTCGAATTGTTTACAAAGACATTGTCTATGTAACATCCTATACACTGGCTGCTGGGATTTTCTCTTAATTAATTTATGTATCCTCACATCCATATAGTCATCGTCTGCTGGACACAGTGGGTTTTAGATCTACAGCGTCGGATAACTAGCCTTTTCGCATATACAAGCACTCCGTATAAGGTTACAGACCGCACAATATCCGTATAGACTCCACTCTGGTTTATCGTTGGCATAGCACACAATATCTAAACCAGCGGGAAATTTAACACAAAGAATCGCATCATACAAGAATAATTAACTTTCAACGTATATTGTACAATTATCATTGCTGCTTTTGTTCTACGTTGACAAACTCGCCAACCAATGTTATGTAAATCATTAGATATCATTGTGCTTTGTGCGTATGTTTATAATACAATAAGATGTGGCGACATCGGTTTTGGAAGTAATCGAGTGCTAATTCATTTCTATTGTCTTATTATTACTATTTCTGTAGCTTTCATACACATCCGCGGCTCCACCAGCGCCGGCAGCAATATGGTGGCTCCTTTTTGGGAGAGGATTGCTCCTCCCCCATCTCCTTCTCAGATATGGCGCACCAGAACTGCATGGCGCGCCTTCCTCCACGGCCTTGCAACTACACCTGGGCTACAGATGCCCCCATGTTCGATGCGCGATAGCCATGGGGCCAGGGAAAACGAGCACTCAGAAGCACTAGCGTTTCTGACCCTAGCGGCGGATCTGGTCTATGGCTCCGCCTACAACCAAGAGTCGACTGCGCGGGGTAACTAGCGTAGTGCCTCGCAATACCTACACTCCTCTCCCCCCGCAACCCCACCACCACAGCAATAATCAGTCACAGGGGACAGGACGAGTGGCGCATCGATTTACCAACACTCCTCTTTCTCCGGGACTTCACCTCTGCTGTAGCGGTAGGGGAGAGGACAACCCTCTCGCCCGCAGGCCACCAAGGCATCTGAAGTGGGCTTGCCAAGCACAATTGGAGTGGCCACCTCAGGCCGGCCCTTCACATCACGGGCTAGCCATGTGGGTTCCTCTTTGTTCACCGCGGGTGACAAAGCCACGGCTACTAAGCCCCCCTTCCCGCCCCCGCCAAGACAAGTCGGGAACTCGTTTGTGGGGGGGGGGGGAGCATATTGTATACTTATTATAATTGCATAATCACTGATGTTTTATAATATATAGCTAATTACTCTAAATATTCTGAAATTGTTGCTGTTGTGAAATGGGTCTCGGGGTGTGGTGAGGATGTCTATAGCTTAATTTTTATTCATATCTTTATTCGATGATTACGGGCTTCTTATTGCGATTTTAAATTTTATCATTTCAGAACGCATCCCTCATTGAAAATTTAGCACGTTTACAACACGTTGACTTGCAAAACTTACCTTCAGTTGCGAGAAGCCGTTACGAAGAGGGAAATGGCAATATGTCACCATAAAAGTATAAACCAAAGAAGATATATTATATTTTAAAATAAAGAAAGACATAAATAAATACTGGCTCAAGATTTATTTATATATCTTAGAGATTAAAATAATTAACAAATTTTACATCACATTAAATTAAATTATTATTTATAACATGTTTTACATGCAAAATAATTATTCCAATTGGGTAAAAATTATATAGTTACTAGGCGTGATTAAAGCATTCAAAATCTGTTTCTTGGAAACTCCTCGAAAAATTTGACGTAAAATTTAACGGTTTTAAATTGACAAAAACATAAGCAGGTACATACATATCATATATTATTTTTAAAACAAAATGGTTCCTCATTTATAAACACAAACTACATATTCAAGGCAGTAAAACCCTGCATATTTCAATTATTGAGTTAGAGCCAAGGCATTGGTTAATATTAGTTACTTATTTTTATAAATCTATCTACCTACATTAAACATTTTAAATTATACATACAACAAAGTGAACACAAATAAAACATGGAAGAATTCCTATCTACGAAAAATGACCCATCGCAAATTGAGCTAGCTGGTGCGTTTTACGAGCTTAGTTTGAATAACTTCACTATCTTAATAATGATTAATTATAATTATTTGCATTGCTCCATGTAACACGTCCCTGACAAAAAAGTGACTACATTAAATAAACGTAAGCGACTTTGTATAGAAAAAACAAAACTATCTTGAAATAAAGTCAACTTTGGACTGATTTTAGAAAATAGGGTGACAAACAAGCACATAGTCCACCCTGGTAAGTGGTTGCTGTGGCCCATAGACATCTACATCTATCCTCGATTACGAATAAAAATGCAGATGCGTTATCACCTCTTGGACTAAGATAGAATGCCTCGTTTTCAATAAAAAGAGCATTCCGGTTTTCTACACTCACCATACGAAACAGCAGCATTAAGCTAGTATTTTGTGAAGGCGTGGTCCTCCTACCCTGGTCGAGCCGATCCATTCATGCTACAACTACAAGTATAATTCAACACTCCGCTCGGCGCGCGAACCCTACCACACGACACAAACCCCAGCCGCTCGATGAGAACCGAGAGAAACCAGCAGTGAACGTTTCTATGAGCGAGGTGTCATGTCGCGCGGCTCAGACACGTGGAGAATATACAGTAATGTAATAATTAACTGTTAGCTAATCAGAGATGAGTTTAATATGTGAAATTGTGCCATGTTGTTCTCTTGAAGTAATACTACCTTGTTCTATTTGCGTTCATCGTACATCATCAATAAAAACCCTTTAAAATCTAAAGTATTTCATATTAAAACCTTTCATAATAATTAATTGACTCCTAGTTTAAAATTCTAATAAATAATATGAAACAGTTATGTATAATAATCGCAGTTTACAGCCAGTATATAATTGTTCTTAATATTGTTTCTTTTTAGTAGCTTCAACAGTATTAACTATTACATTTTTGTATCGCAATTATGCTGGCATACAATACATAGCAATGGGAAAAAAGTTAAAATTACTCGTCCAAAAATTAATTTGAGCTTATTATTTTTTTATGGCTATCGTATGTAATGATAATAATTGGCCACACTGATTCAACGAACAACATTAAATGAGGATTTGACACTGGTAAACAAATGTGCATTAACCTTTTAAGAAATGTCCTTTAGTATATGTTCGACTAACCAAAGTTTTAATGAGCATTTCTAGTGTCTTATTATATGTTAGCATCTGGCTTCAATGTAAATGTTGGATACGTCAAAACCATTGCTTCATTGCCGTTCGCTGAACCATTCCAACCGGCCCAACAAAGAACAGCCTTTGTTGCTATTCGTTGTTCCGATATAAAGTAACATGAAAAATGTAATATTTTGTATGAATTCATTTTGTAAAGCCATGTGGTAACAGCTTACAGACTAGATAAACTGAAAACACTACTATTATCAATGTTGAAAGACCGCAGTCTTTTCTTTAAATCTTTGTCTTCGAAGTGCTTTCTCTTCTGCTTCACGGCGCTTCTCTTCTTGTTCTTGTAAGATCTCGTCATGAAATTTGTTTTTCTTTGCTAGTTCTTCTATTTTTGCTTCAAAGAAGTTTTTGGCTCCATTAACACCTACTTGATCGACATTAATTTCTGTTAATCTTGCTAATGCTTCCAAACCAGAATCTATTTCAAGTTCACCTAATCGAGCTTTCCTAAATAAATAAAAAACATTATAATATTATTATTAGACTGTAATGGTGAAACAACAGTTAAGTAGGAATAAGTTATTCTAAGTAGGAATTCTAGTATTTTCACTCGAACTCAGTTTTAAAATTCCGATACAAAAAATTTGAAATGCATAATTTTAAAACTGTATTCTTAAAGAATATGTAAAAGCAATTTCTGCAATAATGGGGTAAACTTATACTAATTTTATACAATTGCCAAAGAATCATCTCAGGCGATCGCTGTGAATTTCACAGAACGAGTGCAACCCGAATTAGCCGGCAACAATGAAAAGTTGCAATTTTAAGTGCTGATTTACCTCGTGCTCGGCGGTGAAAGAAAACGTGAGGAAATCGGCATGCTGAGTAATTAATAAATTTATTCCGCGACACTCACTGGGACAGCGTGGCGAACATTAGCTTGCCCTAAAACCCTATCATAAATGAGAGGGAGGCCTGTGCCTAGCTCTGGGAGTTAATTAATTGTAACTTTAAGCGCTCGCCTTAAAATTTTAATTCATAGAACGCGATTCAACCGCTAGTAAGCGGGCGTGATTCCCATTGAGTTGTTGGCATCAATAAAATTGTGAGAACTCCCGCCCCAGTCGTCGTATATCAACGAGAACTAAAAATCGATACAAGTGCTGCACTGATTTACCACGTGCTCGGTTATGACTTATGATAGAAATATCGTAAATCTACATATTATCATGGGTGTCGTACTCGTATAATGTGACAGAGCGAAATGAAGGTACAAGGCGCGTTGCTGCTGCAGAAAAAATAATTGTGGAAATAGGTATCGTTTTAAATTTCAAACAGTTAGCTTAATTAGGAATGGTAATGTATTCATTGAAATTTAATGATATATAACTTTCAAATAAATTTTTCGGTACGATACGCGCGCCGCCTACTGTAAGTTAAACGCCTTAATAACTTACTATGCCTATAACCTTCACGGAAGTGCAAGCAATGTGTTGACAAAGTTTTACCGCAATGTGATGAACGTTACGGCAGCGCATTAAATACGAACAAACAAATATTAATTTTTATATATTAAGATATAAGTTTACTACAAATTAATAATTTTGGTTTTAGATTTTAGTCCTTGTGCTGTAGGATACTTTATGCTCGGTACCCTATTGGCATATAAACGATATATACCGTAGATAATACACTATATATCAGAGATATGGAGTCTCCATGATCAAAAATTCCAAACACGACACACCTAGTAGTACTCGGCGACCAGTTCCAATAGCGATTACCAAAGCAGAAGTTCAGGTCACTCCGTCAAGTCCGGTGTTAAGGACTCATCATACCTAACAAAACGAGCCCAAGCACGGCACACCTAGTACTACTCGGCGACCAGTTCCAATAGCGATTACCAAAGTACACCTTCAGGTCACTCCGTCAAGTCCGGAAGTAAGGACTCATCATACCTAACAAAACGAGCCCAACCTCGGCACACCTAGTAGTACTCAGCGACCTGTTCCAATGCCGATTGCCAAAGTACACCTTCAGGTCACTCCGTCAAGTCCGGAGGTAAGGGCTCGTAATACCTAATAAAACAAGCCCTAACTCGGCAGAACTTGTAGTACTCGGCGACCAGTTCCAATAACGATTACCAAAGTACACCTTCAGGTCACTCCGTCGAGTCCGGAGGTAAGGACTCATCATACCTAACAAAACGAGCCCAAACTCGGCACACCTAGTTCTACTAGTCCAGGTGTTCCAGTATTAGTTACTGAAGTTCACTTTCAGGTCACTCCACCAAGTCCGGAGGTAAGGTCTTATCATAACTGACAAAACCAGCCCAAAGTCTACAGCTAACTTCTCAGTGCCAGCGAGGGCTCCCAGTGCAAAGCAGTCTCTAGAGTAGGTATTGGTATTTCGTAACTAAGTCTAATTACTCTATATATCTAAGGATATTTTTGAGGCGTAAGAAATCAAAAACAAATTCGATCTTTCAAATTATCAAAATAATTTTATTTGACTACGATTCCCGCAGCCAACTGTGCGTACACTTGTGTGCGTGACTCATGTCAATGTAATAGTTCGATTCTATACCTATATCAATTTTGTAAAGGCGTTCTTAAAAAATCTTTACGTAAATACTGCGGCAAAAAGAGCGACACGTCTTTACAGCACCAGGCCTCGGCCGGCAGCAATATAGTCAGTAATCTATGGCCGGCAGTGACCTCAGACATGCACAAGCGTTTACGCAAACATCCGTACGTATTATTTCAGAAATAAGAATATGCGATTTAAAAAAAAAACTATTAGTTGGACTAAAAAATTAAAACACTATAACGTTAATATGTTGAATGTATAAAAATCTGACAAAAAATCAGAATGATTGCATGTATACTAGTATGGTTTTTACTAGTTAAAAGAAATTTTTAGAGGTATGTTTGTGATTTTTTTCTATCGTATTAAATTAGTGGTATCATGTTTTCAACACACTATCTAACTAGCACATATCCTGGACAATATCATATATTTTTCTGGGTTTGTTTACTGCAGTGGATCATATACTTTGAGGCATTATAAAACTTGCGTTTAGGCTCATGCCTCGTCTTAATAGATTTACTCTCAACCTTTTGATTTTTTGCTCGAAGTTTAGTTTTCTAAAAACGATATATCCAAGATATGCGTGACTAAAGTAAAGAATACAATATGCTCTTTAAAAAGAGGTCATAAGTAATTTATTACTAAGCTTTTTCATTTCACATTGCTATGCTATTTTGAAAATGTAATTGATTCGACTATTTTATTTTAGTCATACCTAAGTATATCGTGGAG